AGCCCGATATGATTTTGAACTAACAGTTTCAAAATATGGTTCGAGTAAAGCGTGCTCATCTTACAAATATAAGGGCCCAACATTCCAATATCGTAAGTCTGGCCTATCCAAACAGTCTTTTTTATTTTATTTTTTCAATCTTTTGAAAATTCAATGCGTCTACATGTTCGGAAAATGTTTATAACTAACTATTACAACTAAGGATGTCAATCGGGCTCGTCGGCTCGGGCCACCCGTCGCTCGATTCGCGAAAAGCCAGAGTCAGTTTAGTTCGGGGCTCGGACCAAGCCCCATTTTTGGGACACGGGCTTTGCCCAAGTCGGCCCATGAGTCCGCGAGCCTTCATTTAAAAAAAAATAGAGAGAGAAAAATGGGCCTATCGGGCTCGGCTGGGAAAGGCCCGAACCGAAAGCCCAGGTTGAGCCTAAAATTTAGCTGGTCGAACCCGAAAAAAGCTAAACAATTTTAATCGAGTCGAGCTCAAACCTCAAATTTTGACTCGTTGACATCCCTAATTACTACTTAACTTACTATATTAAAGGAGAGGATGGGTCAATCAATGTTCATTTGTGCACCCTCCATTTCACATTATACCTGGTTCCCACGATTCATGAACATGTTTAATTACTGTTCACAAAATATCTTCTTTAGTCCACTTTGCTTTCTTGCAACCATCGTCGTTTCTCTTTCTTATTTAGTACAACAAAAAAAGCAAGTAAACCCTTGAACTTCTAGTCTGCAATCTCCCTTTTTCGTTCTCGGAAAACACCTCCTCTATCGCCATCCTTGTTGTTGTGCCACCTAAAAACCACCATCGGCCCACCACTCCATCATCTACCAATTCTTCCACGACGTCATTTTACAAATTCTGCATGGCATCCGCTACTACTACCCTTGAGTAAAGTTAAAGAAAACATCACCGTTACTGTACGATTTCAACCTCTTTCAGTAAATGCGTTTCTTCTTTTACTTGAATTTGTTGACTCTTGGATGTTGGTATTAAGTGGGTCCCGCTGATGCGTAGGATATTTTCTTGAATGATGGAGTTTGGAAGATTGAATTTTTTGGTTTATTTGTTGACTTGTTTGTTTTTGGGATTTTTGAGTGCGGGGAGATTAGTCAAGGTGATGATATGAGGCATATTTTAGTTTTCAGCATAATCAAATTTAGGTTTTTCCCTGCAATAGAATTCTCTTTGTTTCAATGTCTACTAGTGTCTCTGAGAAACCTTTTCAGAATCCCTTTTCTTATTTTCCAAGGCCACAGCAGGTGCAATGTGCTGTGAACTAGTAATAAGGCTAGATTGGGCCTCTGGCCTCGTGGACAAGCTTAAAGACTGCAAATCCTCCTACCCCATTACATCAATTAGCCTAGTCTCCCACATTAATCTCCATGCAAATCCCTATCTTCTGCTCCAATGCATACCCATTAAGATAATTTCTAGAAACCCAGTTTTTCATTTCATCATCAGCCATTGTTGGAAGCTGAAGATTGCAAGTTTCTTTGGGCTCCTCTTTTGTTGCCTATTGGTACAAATTAGCCCCTATAAATGCAAAGTAATGTGGATATTCTTGACCATGAATTTGCTGCTGGCTACAGTTCTGCTGGAGAGAATTTAGAAAATCTTGGCCATTGTTGGCAGTGGTGTCCCTGAATATAGACGAAGTAGGCGGATCGCCTAAGGGCCTGCTTGAGTGACGGCCCCAAATTATGTAAAGTTAATTAGTTGGTTGAAGAAAAATGAAAATTATATTTATGAAATTTAGTAAAATAGAATTATCGTATCTAAACATAAGAAACTAATAAAAATTGAAAATACAAAAATCTTTATATATATGTTAACAAACTTATCACTTACATTTATTTATAACAAACATTACTTTCCCTATTTATAATTAAGTTGACACCAAACGTTCATTTTCTTTTCTTAACCAAACAAAAGGTCTTTTTGTCTCTTCAAATTCCATGTTCAACAATCACCCACCATTGTTTTTTCAAGCCAACAAGATATAAATTATTTCCATTTGAATTAAAATTTTGAATATTCAATGCAGTTTAGTTTGATCTCGTTGCATTGTTACAACCTTACAGTCTCTTTTTTCTCTCTCTTATTTTCAAAACATATACTCCAATACATATGTTGTTATTAGATTGTTTTGTTTTAATCTCGTGATGATAATATTTTTAGATGTTTGCTTAAAGCACTTTGAATTTAATAATTCTCTGACCTTGTTCGTACAGATACTTCTTATTTTTAAGTTAATTTCTTATAAATTAATATAAAACTAGAAGCTCGTTTGTATTTGATCATCATTTTCATTATTTTGTTATACTTTCTTTTATAGTCACATTCTCCAATTTTGTACATAAAATCACTTAATATATATTCAATTTTATTTGAAATAATTGCAATGAGAACATAATCATACAAACGAGCATACCCCTTTGTCATTGCATTGTAATTATGTTTATCAAACTTTACTTACAATTTATATTGCTCGTTGAAATTTGACATTTTGTTAATTTTCTATTCAAATTTTGGGACTTAGTTGTCTGTGTTAGATTCTCTATAATTATATTAAGCTCCTGTTCGGTATCAATTAAAATCT